TAAATTAATATAGTCAGACAAATGAAACTCACCATTGTTGGCACGCAGAATACATGACAGAAATGCGTGCGAGTAGCATGATCCTTGGTGATGTACGCGAAATGCGTGAGATCATCGGCGTCCTGACAGGCGCAATGAATGTTGCGAATCTCGTGCTCGCAAATCGGCTCCTATATCGATTCCCATCAATGCAAATACGTGAGCACTATAATCGCATCAAAGTCGAACGCTAACCCCTTGAAAATTCGCTAATAGAAAACTATATTCGTTCATCTTCTGACCTTCATTTTTACAACGTTTAAAGCACCTAATATGTATGTACATGTATACATATGTGACTTATATCTTGTTACAAGAGCAATATAAAAATTCAATCCAATATTATTTGCACTTCAGAATTCATTGTAGTATAAAATATTTCTCAGATTCCAGGATGGACTTCAAAATTCCAAAGGATTAACGTTTCTATATCTTTTTTGTTTATCGTGGAGGTTGAACGGAAAACATCTTACGTTGGTCACCGTATTGAAGAATCGGACGCCGCGGTAGCAAATCGCTAAGGTAATGTCGGGAATGACTCTGGGTTCGCGACAGGTTTTCTTCAGCTTCTGTATTGATTTCTTCGTCGACTCGGTACCGCGTAATTCCTTCACCACGGTCGAACCCAGATACTGCGTGATTTTAGAACAGAAAAAGGACACGTGCCACTAAACTTCGCAAATATCAAGCATTTCAATCAATTTTAACATCTAACGAATCTATTAGAACTGTATTGCTTATCAACGAGGTCACGTTGTTATGTAACACATTTAGTTTAGAAGGAAATAAGTGATTAAGTCGGTTCAACCTAATTCCACGGAGGAAGAAAGCGTTAAACGTTAAACGGCAGAGAAGATAATGTTCTGAATGAAATGTGCTATTAGTTACACCCACGCGGTAATTATGGTAATAGCCTTCACCTTGAGGCGTTGTCATGACTGTCTACTAGGTGACATCACACGTACATATACTACTCGTTATCCAAGAACCATGCGACGCGACAATCATTGCCACGCTAACGCGTAATGTTCTCATTTTCAAGGCTACAATAATTTGTTGTCCTCGTTCAACGAAACAAAGAGTACAATTGCCCTGCTTAATAATCCTATTTCTTCTACAATAATTTGTTGCACCTTGCAACGAATCATAATACGTATATCGTCGTAAATGAAATAAGCTTGAATAAAATTAAATTCCAAATAACAGTTTCATGCAACGAATTTCGCAAGAAGACACTCAACGTACGAAGCATTAACGACGTTCGTGGGAAAATTCATTTTCCTAAATTGTTTTTAAACATTAATTTAAGTGGTCTTTATGTGTGCTCCAAAAGTGAGTATTCATTACATTAAGGTATTAAAAGTCGAGACACTCAAACGCAAAGTCAAACTGTTTAACGTGGGATCGCAGTACAGAGTTAAAATAAATATTACAGAAACTAGAATAGAATATATTATAACATGAGAAATAATATGTAATTAATTCGGAGGAGGCTTCCGATATTCGTTTCGGAGAAATAATCGTTCAAAGTAATTTCAATAATTTTATGGTCAGCCACGAGTGACCAAGGCAAAAGACGTTGATAACTTGACAACGTCGCATCGATCTGATCTACGCACGAATACGAACTGCATAGGTAGTAATAATCATAGCACATGAAAAGAAGTAATAACAAATTGAACATTAACGATTATGTGAACGTGATTTCATTTTAAGTTGAGCATGACTGTTCCTTTCGAACGTCCTTAAGAACAGTCAACCCTTTAGATGGGATAAGCAAAGATATGTAAAATGTTAAGAAGAAAAAGGATTGGGTGGGGCGAATAGATGCCAAATAGACTTACGTTGGCGACGTATGTCACGCAGCCGGAGAGCAGAGTTATCGGCTGATGCCTCCATTGCGTCTTGAGGGTGGACGGTACGCCGAGCAGCAGCTCCGACGGTGCCCTGATCTCGAGCTGTTCCGGTGTCGAGATCGCTCCATTATGCGAACTGGGTCGTTGGGGTGGCTGCGGTGCCGGCCTGTTTTTGCGGTGCCTTAATGTGCCCGTGACGGTCGAATTCGTTCCGGTTATCGATCCACCCTCCCTCGTACCTTCCGTCGTTGTTTCCGGCAACTTCTCCCGTATCTCCTCCTTCAGCTGCTGGATGTTCGTCTTCTGCGAAAACGAGATACGCTGCCTTTGAATAACAGAGGTCTTGCTGTGTTGTTCAGTTTTTTCTCTCTTTAATGTTGTTCGTTCTCAGCATTTATGAATACGAATGTGGTTAATACAAAAAGAATGACTCAGTACAACTAAAATGAAATTGTGGATATCTTACTATCTCTGTCCAACAATAATAGTAGCAAAAGAAAATAAATACAGAACGCAACATTTATTATAAAAAATCTAGATTAAATTAAACAACAAATTAAAAATATTACTCCTGATTTTTATTTTGAGTGTTCAGATAGTTTTTGGATTTTTCAGTAATTTCGTTACTGCATTTTAAACTTGCAGATAAGATCCCTTAGCTATGGAGCTTCGCTTTTCCTGTATATCGTTTTTTTCTTGACGCATTAAGAATTGGGCAATCGCAACTTGATCTTTGCTTGGAAACTCTCTTTCTTCATCTTACTATATTCGCAAATATTCACTTGCTACTATTATTATGGGACAGAGGTAGTAATAAGTAAGTTTATGTTTGTTATTTTATTATAAATTTTCAATTCTATTTGTATTGTTATGTATAATACAGTTGAGATACAAATACAGAGGATATTTAACTACACTCTTATACGCCATAGTGTATACGGCAAATACTTTGTTTCCGTTTTTACATTCCATCTCCGTTACAAATTTCCGATACGTCAACGGACCAGAAATAAAAATAGACGAGCAGAAAATATGTTCACGGTTGTAAAACTGTGGTAGAAAACATGAGCTCGCGTTACACGGCGTACAATTACATCCCTGAAAGCGCCTGTTGCGAATAAAAACCGAAAACTTTTTGCAATCTACGCGAGTCGCTTCACACTCCAGGGAATTAGCATCGAAACCAGATTCAAACCGCATGAACGTGTCGCTCGCAGTTCGGATTACATCCTTTGAATAGATTGTCATGTCCTCGTATGATTTGCCACGTGTTAACAAGGAAAGAAAAAAGAAAATAGAAACAGAATGTCAAACAAAGAAAAACAAAGAACTATTGCAGCGTAGAAACAAAAGTTGAAAGTGACTTGGATATCGTGGATATCGTAATTAATAATAATCATCGTTTTTCCAACGAGTATGAGAAACACTGTCTCTTAAAATTAGAATCAATTCGCTACTTATAACGCTAAACAGTCGCAATCAATTTGCCTTTTAGACATATACCGCTAAAATCCTCTATATTTGTTACTAACTTTTGTCGGAAAGGTTAATATCCGTAAACGCAAACAACGCGCGCGAGCGCGGTCCGACGGTCGTGAAATTCGATTACAGGAAAAGAATGGATGTAAGGAGCAGAGAAACGGAGGAACAAAAGGCAGCAATTTGGACGTGTGCGCGACGACCGTCGGCCATTAATCGAATTTAATTAGCTAATTAAGGGAGAACACCGGTGCGGCGCGACGCGGCGCGGCGAAAAGACCAGTCGGCGAGACTGGGAACGCGAGGCGGCTAGAGTAGCTCGTTAACGGATGTACATACATACATCACATCGCGCTCGAGGCTCGAGGCGCCCGAACAAAAACTATTAGCGTCCGCTCGAGCGATCAGGCTGAAAGGTTGCCTCGAGTGTCGCTTCGTGTGTGCACGCGAACAGGTTGCAGAGCCGTGATGCGCCCCGTTACAATAACGCCTCTCCAATTAGCCACGATATTTACATTATGACGCGATCGGCTGAAAGCCCGTCGGAAGCGATCGAGCACTGTCGGTGTCGTCACCCGTTGCCGGTCCCCCGGTCGCCACCCTCGCTCGTTCCGTCCCTCTTTCCTTGCCCAACTGCTTTCCGCGGACCTTGTCAGGTACCCCGTTCAACGGAATTCTTAACAAGATCAGTCGACGCTGCCCCTCCGACTCCAACCCCGTTCGCAATGCTTCTCTTTTTTTCTTCAACGCGTTTTTGTTCGTTTTCTACCTGTCTGTTGCGTCGCAACCCCTTAAAACGCGATCTTCGCGATGTGACGCGTACCCTATTGTGAACAGGTGACAGAATCGATGGGACAAAAGCGTCACCGTATCAACTTCGTTAGCCCTCTTCAGTCTCATTTCTCGTTTCAGTTTTATTCGCTTTGACTCGATAATTACGTATCGCTATTCGTCCGAAATGAGAAGAGGCGACAGCGATTCGTCTACGCTTTAAAGTTGTATGAGCCCTCAAATAAAAGCAATGCCAAAGCATTCAAATTCTAATAGTTATTGGGTAGTACATTAAAAGAACACTGCAAAATTTTAGAAATTCTGAGAGTCTATTAAAGAAATTATTACTTTTTGAGTTTTCTTGAATGGCAAAATTCACTTATGCAGAAACATAGGTGTTACAATGACGGAATTTCGTAATTTCGTATAATTGTTAATACATGTTTTAAGAAAAGTTGAAATAATATCAACTTCGAGGATATTATTTAAGATAGATAGTAAAAAGTAAGTAACCTTAGTAGTTATAGGACTTGTAGACAGTTGCAAGTCAGGTACAATCCTATCAAAAAGTGTCAAAACACTTTAAAAAGTCACTGTAACTTAAAAAAAACACATCGAGTTTTCCGTTCTCTGTAAATATTATTTTTCTTAAAAGTTTATCGTTTCAAATATTGAACATTATAATCTTATCACATTTCTCGAAGTTTTGGCAGAGATCTTACGAATCATACAACCTTAAGCGTTTCTGCGATTTTTACTGAGACGGATATCGATTATCGATTCCAGACGGATCCTCCTTGCACAATATCGCGTTCCTATTTCGTATTCAGCTACGTTTCACTTACCAAGGTGTTCAGGTCCTTATTGAGGTCCTCCAAGTTGGGCCCGACGGAGTTTCGATTCTGTGCACGCCCGTTCGATCCCCTGACCGACGCCAGAATCCTCTTGCGATGCGCGGGCTTCGAGATCTCCAACACCGCGTCCAGCTCGACTTCCCACACGCTCCTCACACGATCCATGTCCGTGTACAAGTGCTTCCTGAAGATCTCCGCGTAGTTCTCCAGGTGAATGCTCTTCAGCCACTCGTCCACCGTCTGGCCGCTTCCACCCGACCGTTTTTCCACCCGTTTGTTCAACGATCCGACCGCGTCCATTATCACAGCACGCTCTTGATCGCTGCTGATGGCCATGTCCTTCAGATCCGCCTCGTCCAAGACTCCGTTCTGCGAACAAAGCAATCGTTTCTTACTATTCAATTTATTCCTATGGAAAGAACAGCGAAATAAATCTATGGAAAAAAGTTTCCCGTGACGCGTATAGAAAAAACTTACTATAAAATCTAAATCGTCGTATCCATAGTTGATGAAGAGAGATTCGTAGTCGGCCAGGCCTAACGTTGACAGCCACTGACCGACGGAAGTTGAGACAATAGGACTACTGCTCGTGTCTGAACTCAGTCCTGCGTACAAATCAAGAGCTGCTCATCATTATTTATTGCCAATTGTTTCAGTAAACAAACTATTAAAATTCATTCTATTAATTTATTTTCATTTCTATTGAAGTAAAAATAATATAAATAACAATGTATGTATCAATGAATACGCAAATAATATATTTTAACCTAATCTCGTCTGGAACTCCTTTTCCAGTTCGGTAACAAACACGGACTCCCGGACAAGACCTGTGCCGAAGGATGCCATGATCTCCGAGATCTTTGCCCATTCCTCCTGCTCGTCGAACGGACTCATTATGCTGAGGGACTTTTCGTCCCTCTCGCGATCGCGATCGCGATCCGACAATCGAAACGCGACCTCACCATCCTCGAGCCGTTCCCCGCCTCCGCCCTCGCCGCCGGTTCCCATTCCGCATGCGGATTGCCCGTATACGTTCCGCAACCTACGCAACGTGCGAGGCCTCTCCGCCGTTACGGATCCTTTCAACAAACCTGCCGAAACAGATGAAAATTTGCATATGTAAATTCCGAAACTCTATTGAAAATGAAAAGTTTAAAACAAATTAAGTAATTGAATTTTTACAAGATTAACAAAATGTAGATTGATGGCCTAATCCTCGTGACGATAGCGTTCGAACTTTATCTAAGATAAATATTAAAATTGCTATAACTTTATTTGAATATAAAGTATGTACGCATAGTATACAGAACGTTGCAAGCTCGAATTTTCATAACTTACAATAAATGTTGAATTAACTGTCCTTTACATGCTCGAGATCTGATATTCATTATGGTATTAAAAGCCGAACATGAAATGCAGAAACATAGGTGTTACAATGACGGAATTTCGTAATTTCGTATAATTGTTAATACATGTTTTAAGAAAAGTTGAAATAATATCAACTTCGAGGATATTATTTAAGATAGATAGTAAAAAGTAAGTAACCTTAGTAGTTATAGGACTTGTAGACAGTTGCAAGTCAGGTACAATCCTATCAAAAAGTGTCAAAACACTTTAAAAAGTCACTGTAACTTAAAAAAAACACATCGAGTTTTCCGTTCTCTGTAAATATTATTTTTCTTAAAAGTTTATCGTTTCAAATATTGAACATTATAATCTTATCACATTTCTCGAAGTTTTGGCAGAGATCTTACGAATCATACAACCTTAAGCGTTTCTGCGATTTTTACTGAGACGGATATCGATTATCGATTCCAGACGGATCCTCCTTGCACAATATCGCGTTCCTATTTCGTATTCAGCTACGTTTCACTTACCAAGGTGTTCAGGTCCTTATTGAGGTCCTCCAAGTTGGGCCCGACGGAGTTTCGATTCTGTGCACGCCCGTTCGATCCCCTGACCGACGCCAGAATCCTCTTGCGATGCGCGGGCTTCGAGATCTCCAACACCGCGTCCAGCTCGACTTCCCACACGCTCCTCACACGATCCATGTCCGTGTACAAGTGCTTCCTGAAGATCTCCGCGTAGTTCTCCAGGTGAATGCTCTTCAGCCACTCGTCCACCGTCTGGCCGCTTCCACCCGACCGTTTTTCCACCCGTTTGTTCAACGATCCGACCGCGTCCATTATCACAGCACGCTCTTGATCGCTGCTGATGGCCATGTCCTTCAGATCCGCCTCGTCCAAGACTCCGTTCTGCGAACAAAGCAATCGTTTCTTACTATTCAATTTATTCCTATGGAAAGAACAGCGAAATAAATCTATGGAAAAAAGTTTCCCGTGACGCGTATAGAAAAAACTTACTATAAAATCTAAATCGTCGTATCCATAGTTGATGAAGAGAGATTCGTAGTCGGCCAGGCCTAACGTTGACAGCCACTGACCGACGGAAGTTGAGACAATAGGACTACTGCTCGTGTCTGAACTCAGTCCTGCGTACAAATCAAGAGCTGCTCATCATTATTTATTGCCAATTGTTTCAGTAAACAAACTATTAAAATTCATTCTATTAATTTATTTTCATTTCTATTGAAGTAAAAATAATATAAATAACAATGTATGTATCAATGAATACGCAAATAATATATTTTAACCTAATCTCGTCTGGAACTCCTTTTCCAGTTCGGTAACAAACACGGACTCCCGGACAAGACCTGTGCCGAAGGATGCCATGATCTCCGAGATCTTTGCCCATTCCTCCTGCTCGTCGAACGGACTCATTATGCTGAGGGACTTTTCGTCCCTCTCGCGATCGCGATCGCGATCCGACAATCGAAACGCGACCTCACCATCCTCGAGCCGTTCCCCGCCTCCGCCCTCGCCGCCGGTTCCCATTCCGCATGCGGATTGCCCGTATACGTTCCGCAACCTACGCAACGTGCGAGGCCTCTCCGCCGTTACGGATCCTTTCAACAAACCTGCCGAAACAGATGAAAATTTGCATATGTAAATTCCGAAACTCTATTGAAAATGAAAAGTTTAAAACAAATTAAGTAATTGAATTTTTACAAGATTAACAAAATGTAGATTGATGGCCTAATCCTCGTGACGATAGCGTTCGAACTTTATCTAAGATAAATATTAAAATTGCTATAACTTTATTTGAATATAAAGTATGTACGCATAGTATACAGAACGTTGCAAGCTCGAATTTTCATAACTTACAATAAATGTTGAATTAACTGTCCTTTACATGCTCGAGATCTGATATTCATTATGGTATTAAAAGCCGAACATGAGTGCCCTATACAAAATCTGTTTAACAGAGACATTTTTATGAATATTAACAAAAGTTTTCTTTATACATCTTTAAAAAAATAAAATAAAATATGATGTAACATGAGGAATGCTATGAAATTAATCCGAAGGTGGCTTGCAACATTGGTTTTCGAGAATTATTTTTCGAAGCTAGTAATTTCAATGATTTGCAGCTGCGAGTGACGAAGGAAAATGTTGATCACTTAACAATATCGCGTTAATCTAGTCTACGTATGTGTACAGTAGTAATTATATGACGTGGAAAAATAAAATAATAACAAATTAAGCGTTATTGATTATGCACATTTTAAGTCGAACACGATTATCTTTCGCGAACATCTATAAAAATTGATAAACCTTATCAATTCATTCTAAATACGAATCAAATATTATAACATTTCATACAGAATTTCGCAATAATTTTTGACGTATCATACATATATTATGAAAGCATTACATTCGTCAATTAATTGATGAACGCAAGCTAGGATTTTCTAACAGGGTATTCAGCTGACCAAACCTAAATCAGTTTTGGACGGTTTCAAACGCGCAAACACGGCGAGACTGTGCGTCTGGAATCAGGCAGCGGATATCCATAATGGATAGCAGCCACGTACGAACGAATCCACGGATACGTTGAATATTCATTAGCGATTCGTCATTGTTCGATGCCTCCACGAGATTAGTTCGCAGCTAGAAGATAATCAAGAGACCGACTCTCGACAGTTTCGACATCGATCTCGTTAAACAATTACTTCGCGGAATAGCCGTTTCAACATTTGCTTATGTTATGACACAGATAATCTTTATCTTCAATTTTACTCATCAAGTGCTCATTTAAGAAGTGTTCAACATGTGTGACAAAATTAATAAAATATTTATATACTACAAATAATTCATTTTTGTAACACGATTAATCGCACAAAGAGAATGGACTAGTGAGAATTGTTTTTTATTTCGATAAAGCATTCTAATAACAACATGTTTCGGTCCATATGTATATTTTCGCACGATATCCGAACGAAGGTTTAAAAAAAAAGACAGGGAAAGAGAGGAAAACGCGTTGGATATTCAAAACGCATTCGACGGTGCGTTCGGGCGTCGCCTCGCTTGTACGATTGCTCGCAAATAAATTCAGGTTTCGAGTAAATAAAGAACGCGGATAAAACGTTTGAGGGTCAAAGTACCATAAAAAAAATCATTTGCGCGTGCACTTGTTGCGAAACGGTTACATTCACCGTGATTGAAGAGAACCGAACAAATACCGGACACCGCGCCGCGCTACCGGCTCGGCCGTGCGCGAACGCGTCCACCGACGCAACGAGACAAACAAATTCGGATCGACAAAGATTATTGCGAAATCAATGTTTCCTGTTGTGCACCGCGGTCCGACATACATGTATACGTGGAACGCCATTTCTCGGCATTCAATTATTCACTGCTGGTGAAAATAAAAAATTTGATCAATTCTATTTAAACTCTTTGTATTTATTTGATAGGTACATTTTCAACGGGATAATATTCCACTGACGCGCGGGTGGGTTAAACAAGGGGGGCCATAACCCCAGGCTTCAACATTCAAAGGGTCCCGCGAGCTCGAATAAAAACGTCGTTTTTATTTATATTCACAAAATGATCATTTTTTGCTGCCCTTAGGTGAACCCAATATTCATTTTAGTCCCGGGCCTCTAAATTGCATACGGTCCGTGAATCTTTAATTCACTCCTGCACTGGCAGACAATAAAACCTGGCCAATAGAAGGGCTAATTTTACAATGCAGTATAAATGTAGATTAGGTTATAAAAAATTAACGTTGCTGTTCCATAATCGGTACGCATTTCAAGTAACAACAGAAAATTTTCAAGACACTCTTTAACACACAAAGGGACGATGAATGGAAGGTTGACCGATTACGGTGTTCCGCTTCGACAGGTGCAATTCCCCCATCCTCGTACCGTTCTCTTCGATTTTTTCATCTGAAAAGTCACGTCTGAAGGGAGAGCCCTCATGGGAACATCGTCACCAAGGATAATCCGTCGTGTTTTCATTGCAACCGTTACAATCGACGCCTTGGAAACGGCGCGGTCGCGGAATTTCTTTCATAGGAATTTCACAAATGAGAATTCGCGTTGCCTACGCGGGCGATTATACGTACGAGCGAATGGGCCCAGCCACAGGCGGGTCTGAAGGAAAGAAAACGAAGAGGAAAACACTCTGCAGGGGGTCGGTAGCAGCGGGGAAGAGGGTGCAAGAGAGAAAGAAGAAAAAGTACCACTTTAAGCAGCGTCTATGAACGCCTTTCAAAGACGCTGTGTGTATCCTCTCCGCGCAGGTACCAGCTCGAGAGAGCGTGTACATACATCCGGGCGTCGTGAAAAGCTCATAAAAATATTAAACAGAAGGGAGACGGAGAGCGGTGGAAAAAAGGAGCCTCGGTGGGCGAGAGAAGGAGGGGGGTAGGAGAGAACCGTGCGGGAGCACGTACAAGCAGCAAACGTACGTAATTTTAATTAAAGCTCCATGATGAAGGGCGTCGCCTGCTCGCGCGCACTCCACCCAGCACCGTTATATTATGTAGGTAGTTATTCAAGTCATATACACAAATTACATAAATCCTCATCGTAGTCCCTTTCTACCGTTTCTCTACCTTCTATCTACCTTTCCCTTTCCTTCGCCCTTCCAACGCCTCGTACACCTTCTCCTGCTGAATTTCATCCTTTATCCCTCTCTTCTTTTCTTCTTTTTAATTATCTGTTTCCGTCTGTCTCCGAGAATGTTCTGTTCTCGTTTGCCTCACCATCGCCATTCTCTTGCCAGTCGTCGCCAAGCATCGCACGAGCCACTGCCGCTAGCTTTCACAGCGTAATAGTTTCCCTCGCAAGGGAATCCGTTTAATCGCAGTAATTGGGAAGAGCTGCGACATTATGCGCTTTTTCCTTCGCCTTTATTTCGTCGCCAGTTTGCGCGCTCTCTCACCAACACCGTGAGAAACCGCCGCCGTCGAATACGTGTCCCTTTTATGTCGCATCTCTTTTCTATTCTCTTTTTAATTCTTCCCGTTGCGTTCCACTCGCCTTTTTTTTTCTCTTTTTTTCCCCTTCTTTGTTTCTTCTTTTGCTATTTTTTCGGAAGCGAATTTTTGCTCCGCTCTTTCAGGACAACACGGAGAATTCAGTTTTTGCGGTGATGCGGGAACGGGTATAGATTCGTTTTGTATCGAACAGTCCTTTTCGTCATTCAGTCAATTTTGACGCGCGGTTGCTGTTTCACAGAATTGTCATTGAACAAAGCGAACATTTTTCATCTTGCTGGAGATGTATCGTTAAAACTCGATAATTCCATCTATACATATAAAAGGCATTCAGTTAAACGCAATGGGAGATGCGAAACTGAAAACTATATTACAGTCTTTGAGGCCCAAAATGTTATTATATACACTATGACTACAATTCCATTTCCGTTGTCGCCCTTGAGCCTGATCTTTTTACAGATTGCGAGAGTTAACTATAACCACGTAGCAGTGACATCCATCTCTTCAGCCTCATTACATCTGCCCGCAAGAATGACAACCGCAAGAACGCGAAGGTTCCAAAAAGGAAAAATGAAAACCACGAACGCGTTTAGCTCAGCCTACAAGGCGTAACTTCCGCTGATCTTAACTCCTCGTTTCTACGTTCCTCAACCACAGTCCATTAAAGCCAAAGGAGAACTTGCGAGCGATCTCGTATCTGCTACGTGGCTCGGTCGTAAACATTAAAATAATCCTTGCGTGAGTGAATACGCGTGCGCCGAGCTGCGGGAGATTCTCATCCCTTTCAAATGGAAATGCTGGATTTCTCTAGATATTAAAAACGCACGGCCATTAAGCCGCTCGTAACTACCCCGTCAGTGATATTTTCAGATGAACGTCCTCGCTCCTAACTCTTAAGACACGTCGTAAAACAGATAGCCAAATCAGACATTGCAAACATGTAACTGAATGATGTATAAAGATTACTCAATTTTCATTTAAATTATTTCATTAATATTCTATTATGACGATTATATTAGATTCTTCTATTTAAAGGACAATCTTATTAAAAGGTAATGGTTTTTTAAAATGATTTATTATTAAACTGTGTAGAAAAAATATAGCTAAATATAAAGAATGTTTGCCATATTATAAAATATATAAAATTTTAATAGATGACTGCACATTACAATGTTTACACGATAAAAGAAATGTGCATTTAGAATGTATTCTTTAAGCTAATATAAGTATTTTATTTTACTTAAAAATCTGCAATCTACTTATTATACATGTATGTATGATTGTATGACTTCTGATATAACCATGGCATTATATTTTATGATTCAATTCTGCACTAAAAAAAGGTTAGTTAATTTAAATATAAAATGGGCTTCTGAGACGACGAGGCACGTATACGTACGTACACATACTTGGAATCTCACGTTAATTTAACGCCGCCTTAAAACTGTGTCAATTTCGCGTTTTAACGAGCCAGCCGCAAATTAAGAAACACGAATTCCGAGAACTCATTGATAAAGCTTCGCCAGCAGGCAACAATTATTCAAACCGCTTTCGCTGAACGCTCCGACTTGCAGGCAATTGTCTTTTATGAATGCGAAAATTATATTTTCAATAAATAGTCATTTAAAA